ATCAATAGGGGACCCGCTAACGAATTTACAGTACAGCCAGAGAATGGAAGATGTAGCTGTAGGGGAAAAAAGTCAGCTCTACATGTACTGACATGGAAGTATTCCCGAGATAAGCTAAATCATAAAAGCAAGAACAAGGGGTGTATACCAGTAGAGTAAAAACAATTTTAAGGCCAAGCTTTGGAGCCAGCCCTGACCCACTAAAGAGCCGCAGGGCCTTGGACAAGCTTGTCACTTCTCTGAACTCAGATGCCTTATCTATAAAATGGGAGGGTTTTTTGTTTTTTAATTTGGCCACGCTGCGGGTTTTTAAATTTGGCTGTGGCTTGCGGGATCTTAGTTCCCTGACCAGGGATCGAACCAGGGCCTCGGAAGTGAAAGCACCAAGTCCTAACCACTGGATCGCCAGGGAATTCCCAAATGGGAGTATTATAAGGCCTTTACAAGCATCTTCTCAGGCAAAGATGGTTCCCCTCTTGGAGCCTGTTTCTCCTGCTATAAAACAAGGATGACTGAGCTAACATAGGACTGCTCTTCGTTCTACAGATATGAATTGAGCAGGTACCGTGTGCCGGGCCCTGCACAGGGTGTTAGGAGCACAGCAGTGAACAAGACAGACCTGGTCTAGTGAGGGAGGTGGACACCGACCAAGTAGTGGCAAACACAAAGTAAAGAAGCCAAGTCCACTTTGAACAATAAGTAGGGGAGCCTTGCCTCCCTTCATACCAAGAATTATTACAAAGCTGTAGTAATAGGACGGTGGTGCTGGCTTGGGAATAGGCTAGTGGGAGGGCACTGAGAGCTCAGGAACAGACCTGCGCTTACGAGGTGCTAATAGGAGGCGGTCCCCACCTGTAGATCAGAGGTTGGCAAGCTTTTCCTATAAAGGGCCAGACAGTAGATCTGTTTAGATTTTGCAGGCCATACTGCGTCTGCCACAACTACCCGGTGCTGCTGTTGTAGCGCAAAGGCAGACACATGCATTGTGATATGTGGACGAGCGTGGCCGTGTTCCGATAAAACTTTATTTACAAAAACAGTAGGTGAGGGCTTCCCTGGTGGCACAGTGGCTGAGAGTCCGCCTGCCGATGCAGGGGGCACGGGTTCGTGCCCCGGTCCGGGTAGATCCCACATGCTGCGGAGTGGCTGGGCCCGTGAGCCATGGCCGCTGAGCCTGCACGTCCAGAGCCTGTGCTCCGCAACAGGAGAGGCCACAACAGTGAGAGGCCCTCGTAATGCAAAAACAAACAAACAAACAAAACAAAACAAAAAAACAGTAGGTGGGCTGGATTCTGCCTATGGAGTGTAGTTCGCCAGCCCCAGCTATAGATGAGTGGGGAAAGGATAGCTAATCTGTGAATGAGCTGAGAGATAGGGAAGAAAATTAAATGAGACCCTGTGGTAGGCAGAATAATGGTCCCCCAAAGATATCCACATCCTAATCCCCAGAACCTGTGAGTGTGTTGGCTTCCACACAGCAGAAGGGACTTTGCTTATGTGATGAAGGATCAGCTCTTAAGATGGGAGATTATCCAGATTATTCCAGTGGGCCCAGTGTAATCACAAGGGTCCTTACATGGGAAAGAGGGAAGCAGAGGAGTCAGAGGAGATGTGCCAATGGAAGCAGAGACTGGAGTGAGGCGGGACCGCAGGTCAAGGAATGCAGTCAGCTTCTAGAGGCTAAAAAAAGGCAAGGAAATGGGTTCTCCCCTAGAGCTTCCAGAAGGAACACAGCAAAATAAAAATTTAAATAAGTAGATAAATAAAATAAAAAATAACACTAAAATAATTTAAAAAGACAGAAGGAACACAGCCTGGCCAGCACCATGATTTTAGCCCACTCAGACTGATTCTGCACTACTGACCTCCAGGACTATAAAATAAATTTGTGTTGTTTAAAGCCTATGATTTTGGTAATGTGTTACAGCAACATAGAAACTAATGAGGCTCTCTACCTCACAGCATACACAAAAATTAGTTTCTAGTGATTTAAGATCTAAGTCTGAAACACAAAACTCCAGAGCATTTAGATGGAAATAAAGGAGAATCCCTTAGTAACCTCATAGGCAGAGAAAGTATCTTTAAGACACAAAAAGTACAGATCGTAGAGGAAAAGACTGGTAAATTTGATCATAAGCAAACCAAGATACAACGATGATAGAGAGACAGTATTATGAGGGTAGACCTGGCAAATACGGTTAGATATAGAGGGTGAGAGGAAAGGCCTTCTTGAGGAGCTATTGTTCAGAGCTCAGATCTGAAAGCTGTGGAGGATGGAATGAGAGATGGTTTGTGGAATCTCCAGCATGAGGCTGGAACCAAGCAGACAAATGGAAATCAGGGGGCCTCAGGATTGCAGGCTGCTCAGCAAGGCCCTTGCAGTGGGGTGGGGTGGGGGCAGCGGAGGGGCAGGCTCCCTCCCCCAAAGCCAGCAGTATGGCTTGTGTCCATATTTACCATGGAGCTGCCCCGTAAGATTTCCTCCAAAGTGACCCCACCACCATCAACGTTTCAAGGACACAAACTCATCTTGGGGGTGTCCATCTGGCCCAACCTTACTTTGTCCAGATGGGAAAGCTGGGTGCAGGAAGGATGGGATTTGCCTGCAACCAAGCAAGGGGCAGTGCTGAGTCAGGGTGGATCCTGGGTTTTCCTGGTACCCCGCCCAACACCCTGCTACTCCTTGCACTTGTCCTGCCTGAAGACCTCTGCACTTGCTTTTCCTCTGCCTGGAATGGTTCCCCCAGAACCTCCCTTACTTCTCCCAAGTCCCTGCAGACAGGTGAGTCCTCTGAGACACCTTCCCTGATGACCCGATCACTCTCATCACTGTGTAACGCTGCCTGGCTCTTTCTGCTCACACAGCATTTATCGCCACCCCACACTGCGGGACACTTGCCGTCTCTCTCCCCCAGCAGAATGTCAGCCCCGTAAGAGCGGGGGACTCGTGCCTGTTTTTTCACTCTGCAGCCCCACTGTCTCACACATGGTGGGTGTGGTTGGCAGAAAAATGGCCTCCCAAAGATGCCCACATCTTAATCCCTGGAACCTACAGATATGTTATGTGGCAAAGGTTGAATTAAGGCAGCATAAGGAATGAAGGTTGCTAAGTGGCCGGCTTTAAAACAGGAAGATTATCCCAGGTTATCCGGCTGGGCTCAGTGTAACCACAGGAAGAGTCAGTGTCAGAGTGACACAGCGTGAGAAAGACTCGACTGGCCGTTGCTGGCTTTGAAGATGGAAGGGGCGTGGGTCGTGGGCAGCTGCTAGAAGCTGGGAAAGACAAGAACGCGGATTCTCTCCCGGAGCCTCCAAAAGGAGCGCATCCCTGCCTACACCTTTTTTTTTTTTTAAATTTATTTATTTAATTTATTTATTTTTAGCTGCGTTGGGTCGTCGTTGCCGCGTGCGGGCTTTCTCTAGTTGTGGAGTGTGAAGGCTACTCTTTGTCGTGGTGTGCGGGCTTCTCACTGCAGTGGCTTCTCTTGTTGCGGAGCACGGGCTCTAGGCACCCGGGCTTCAGCAGTTGTGACTCGCAGGCTCTAGAGCGCAGGCTCAGTAGTTGTGGCTCGCGGGCTCTAGAGCGCAGGTTCAGTAGTTGTGGCGCACGGGCTTAGTTGCTCTGAGGCATGTGGGATCTTCCTGGACCAGGGATTGAACCCGTGTACCCTGCACTGGCAGGCAGATTCTTAACCACTGTGCCACCAGGGAAGTCCCCCTGCCTACACCTTTATGTTTAGCCCAGTGAGACCCATTTTGGACTTCAGACCTCCAGACCTAGAAGGTTACACCTTTCTTTTGTTTTAAGACACTAAGTTTGTGGTCATTTGCTACCCAGCTCTGACCCTGCCTTTGCCCTTCGACCCCTTCCTGACCTCCCCAGGATGAAGTCCAAGCTTCTCAGCCTGCCGTTCACAGTGCTTCTGGACCGCCCTGTCCTGCTTTCTACAGCGAGGGAAAGGCTCTCCGTCGGTGCTGTCCAGCTCAGGAGCCAGTGAGCACTTGAACTGTGCCCAGTGTGACTGAGGAAGTGAATTTTTCCTTTTGTTTCACTGTCCTTAAGTTTATTTTATTCATTTATTCATTCATTCATTTATTTATTTATTTATGGCCGCACCGCGAGGCATGTGGGATCTTAGTTCCACAACCAGGGATCAAACCCGGGCCCCCTGCAGTGGAAGCACAGAGTCCTGACCACTGGACCACCAGGGAAGTCCCTGTCATTAAGGTTAAATAGCCACCTGTGTCCAGTGGCTACTGCACTGGACGGCACAGCTGCCAGGACTGTGCCCACCTTTCCAGCTAGGTCTGCCCCTAAAGCCTCGTCACCAGAGGGGCCGTGCTCCTTCAACTGCCCCCTGGGCACCAGGCTGGCTCCCACTTCCCGGCCTTCGCCCACACCATGGCCCTATCCCACCTTCTACCCTGATTCTCTAACGCCCAGTTCAGTTCCCACCTTAAATGTGGTGGATCCTTGAAGGGGGTTCAGGATTTGGGGGGGGTGATTAAAATGCCCCTTCCCCCAATTCTACCTCCCAAATGAGGTGATATCAAACCAGGCTGGTGACAGTTTCACAGCTACTTCTGAGAGCCCTGGAGAAAGGGAGATGTCCCTGGCCCAGAGAGCTGAGACTTAGAGAGAGAGAGAGGGAGGCCTATCCCATGAATATGCCAGCCCCCAGTCCAGGACCCCCAGAGGGACAACCGAGACACAGGAATGGGCTCCAGGGAGGTCAGAACCAGCTGAGGGTGGTGCTGTCAGATTCCTAATTCCCTACCACCTGCCACCAAAGGGGGGAGGGGCCCTGAAGAAGTGACAAAGAGCTCCTTCCCTACCAGACCCCAGATAGAGAGCCCTTCGTTCTTTCCGGGACCCCAGCACAGGAGTCATTAGGCAGCCCAAAGACCCGGCCTTCAGAGGGGAAGCAAAACCAAACCAAACATAAGACAGAAAGCTGGGAACCTGTTGTGGGTTCTGGGAGACACGGGTGAGAGGGGCAGCTGCTCCAAACCAAGTCACCTTTATTAATAAACTCATGTGTGTGAGAGCACATACTTCATGCCTGGGGCACCACCCCATAGAGCTGGTGGGGAAGTAACTTCTGCTTCTCGTTGCAACTGTAGATCCACCGGGGACGGACGAACACCAAGGAGGGGTTGTCCATCAAGGCCTGCAGGGTGGGGTGGCGTGCATGCAGGAACATGTGAGCCAGGAGGGGGTCGGGGGGATGCTAGGGCAGGTTTGGTCTCCCTCTCCCTGCCCCTTCAGGACTCACCTCCTCAAAGCTGGGGTCCCACTCCTGTGCCGTGATCACAAACTGTACCCGGTCGCTCATATAGTCCTCAAGCTCCCTGGCAGAGAATCGGTGTCCCCTCTCTTGACACCCTACTCCCCAACCATCCTCAGAGGCCATTCCCCATCCCCATCTATGTCCCCTATAGGCCGCCTGTGGGTCCCCCACTCTCCCACGTGCCAGGCTCGCCACAGCCCCGAAGCCAACAGCTCCCGCAGGCGCCAATCCTTTCAGAAGGGCACTGTGGAGCCTCGCTTTAGAGAAGAGGAGCCCGAGGGGAAGCTATGCATCCAGGGCTGCCCAGCAGCGTGAGCAGGTCTGGCACAGAACTCCACAGCCTGTGCCCAGCCTGGGGGTACGGCCTTCTCCATCCTCCAGATGGCCCTACTCCCCACGACCTACCACACCTCCTCCCCTGCCTCCCCTGTCCCCGGAGACTGACCCGTTGAAGGCTGTGACATAACGGCTGAGCGTCCGCCGCTCGTCCCCCGGGAACTCCCCGTACAGGAAGAAGTGTTTGCCCTGGAAAAAGTCTGCAGGGGAGATGGCGGGAGAGCCGAGCATGAGGCCCCTGGAGTCCCAGGGCACCAGCCAGGAGCCACAGAACACGCAGAGGCAGGACAGCAAGGCCGGCGCAGCCGCCAGAAGGGGAAAGGGGTGTCCGTGTACAGCCTGGCACGGGAATAATCCATGACAAGCAGTGGTTCCCGCCAGGCCCATCTGAGCCTCTGGGGAGTTTTGCTTCATTTTGTTGCAAGAATGATAAAAGACGCAATTACTATTATTGCAACATGTTTCTTACACCAGGTCAATCACTTCATTAGCTTGGCCTGGCTTGGAAATTTCACATCCTGCCACTTCCTCGCCATGGCTGTCCCACTCCTTTTTAATCAGCGCCTTCTCTGGCTCTGACCTTCAGGGTGGTTCTTCGTTCCAGTTTGATATGATTTGCCATCAAGTTGCCAATGCCATGTTTGGGGCTTTGGAGGATCAAAGTACTTTCCTGCCCATCACCCATGAGGAACCGAGCAGAAACGGCTTCTTCCAGTGGCCACTGACCCTCACCTCTGCTCAGACCCTCTGACTGTCCGGCTCTCCCTTCATTCTCACTGTTTTTTTTGGCCTCACCGCGCAGTATGTGGGATCTTAGTTCCCTAACCAGGGATCGAACCCGTGCCCTCTGCAATGGGAGCACAGACTCCAGAGTCTTAACCACTGGGCCGCCAGAGCAGTTCCCCTCTCCTTTCCTTCTTGACCTGGCCCTGACCCACGCCCCCAGCAATCATGTCTGGGGTGACGAATAACAATGCTGGCATCATGTAGGTCCCAACAAAGATCAGCGCCCACGCCCACAGCACCTGTGTTCCCCAGGCCCCACCACACACCGACAAAGCCGAACCCAGGGGGTGGAGCCTGGGCACCTGCAGATTTTAAAAGCCCCTGGGCGATCCTGAAGCCTAGGGAGTGGGAGGCCCCCGGCGTGAGGGAGTGGAAAGCCAAAGGGGGTCTCGCCTGGGGCTGGGCTGTGATGGAAGCGGTCACAGCAGAAGTCAGGACAGGGACAGAGAGGGAAGTCAGGAGAGGATGCTGAAAGGAAGGGAACAGGCCTAAGAGGATGAGGAGGTGGCAAAGGCCAGGGACTGGGGGTGAGGAGCCTGGAAGACAAGTCACAGGGGGCAGCAGCCAGCCCAGGGCCGGCTGGGGCAAGTCACGGCAGAGAAGTAACAGGGCCAAATCCCACATCAGGAGGGAGGATTTCCCACCTGGGAGCTCGGGAATCGGCAGATTGGGAGACTCCGGGGGACCTTCGTTGTCCGTGTTCTCATCCGTGGATCCTGCGTACGGGTCCTTGCCATTCTCCTCGCCAGAGGGCGGCCTTTGTTCCTTCTGCTCAGCCACCCTGGAGAGGCCAAGAGGGGTGGGGTAGGAGCATGCAGACCAGGTGCCCCTCCCCGCAAGGCCAGGGCCACCCTGACCCCCAGCCCAAACCCTACCTTCTCAGCTCGTCCTCGGTGTCCCCAGAATCTTCTGCCCCATTGTCCTGTCCTTCTGCGAATGGAAGCTTAGTCAATGTGAGGCCCACGCCTTCTCGTCTGGGAAGACCGGTAACCTTCCCTCCCAGTCTCATGCCTGAGCACAGATGCAGGCATTCCAACCCGCAGGCTCAGTGGCCCTCCAAATCCAGTTAGGGGTTGTGGGGGGTGGGACAGCCACCCTCTACCCCAGATCCATTGCCTGGAATCCAGCCCCTCCCCCCTCAGACCCAGAGTCCAGGCCCCCGGCCCCTCCCCCCTCAGACCCAGGATCCAGACCCCCGGCCCCTCCTCCCTCAGACCCAGGATCCAGGCCCCTGGCCCCTCCCCCCTCAGACCCAGGATTCAGGCCCCCGGCCCCTCCTCCCTCAGGCTCTGACCTGACTGCTCCCCCTTGGTGTCAGTATCTTCCTGGGGCCCTGGTGACGGTGGTTTGGTCTCTTCTGGGGTTGGGGGTCTCTGGGGTGAGCTAGGTCCTGCTGCCTGAGAGGGCTTGGCTTTGGTCTGGAGGCGCTGAGGAGGGAGGGTGGGTCAGCAAGGACGGAAGGGGCAGCGCGGGTGTGAGCGTGGGGGGCGCCTGCAGGAGGCAGGAGTGGAGAGTTTGGGTACCATGACACACCCATGTCCCCCCCCCCCCACTCCACCCTCCCCCGCCCGGGCCGGGGGCATCAGACCTTTCGGGGAGGCTTGGGGGCTTCATCCCCACTGCTGCCGCCATGAGAGCCCCCCTCGTCCTCGCTGCTCGAGTCTGGCCCAGCCATGAGGTACCTGGGGGAGGAATCAGGCCTCAGACAAACTCCAGATGTGTCCTCCGGGGGAGGTGGGGAGGGGGCTTAGGAAGCAACAGGCACTGGCTGTTTATTCAGTATTTACTAAATACTCAGGGTGGCAATCATGGCTCCTCTCCTAGCCCACCCTCCTCCCAGCTCCGGAAGGGCCCCAGAGACCCCCAGCCACCCACATCGGAGACCAGAGCACTTCCTGGCTTCCCTTCCCTCTTTGGGAAGAAATGCCTCATTTCAGAAAAGGAACAACAAAAAAAATCAGAAATAATTCTCCCTTTTGAGAATCAAAGTCAGTTTCTCATTAGGCGCTGAGTGCCCCTGCAGCTCCTCTGGGCAGACACCAGGCTGACTCCAACCCCGGCTCCTCCGCCCAGGCATGCTCTCCGCGTCTGTTCAGCCTGGCAAACCTGTTCTCTTCCTTGAAGACCCCTAGCTCACTGCAGTCCTCCCCTTGGGCCTGCTTCCAAACTGTTTTAGAGCTAAGTCCGGCCCCTCATCAAAGTCAGAGGCCTTCGAGGGCAGGACCTGACGTCAGGGGCCAGCATTGCACAGCCCAGCCTGGCGCCAAGCAGGGGCTTCGGGTGAAGGAATGTGAACAGGTGCTCTCTGCCCTGAGGCTTTGGGAATGCTGTGTCTCCAGCCTGCAGTGTCCTTTTCCTTCGCTAAGCAGACTTCCCAGAGCCCTGCACGGACCGCCCCCCCCCGCCCCCCACTGTCTCTCCCCGTCCTGCCCCTCCTCCTCTGGGAAGTCTGCTGACTCTGGGCCAGAAGGGCCTGGCCTGATTTCTCTCCAGATCCCTGACACTGCCCAGCATGGGGACAAGGGTCAGGGTCAGGGTGTGCGTGTGTAAACCACATGCGCGCAGTGAGGCCTCACCTCCGAGAGGGCAGCCGCCGCCGCATGCGGTGACAGTCCAGCACCCACTCTTTCCGCACGATTCGGCCTCCGAGGCCTAGGACCTGGCTGTACTTGGGGGTGTTGGCAAAGGCGCAGCTGGCAGAGAGCGGAATGGAGGGTGTCAGCCCGGTGTGATCTGAGAGGTGAAGGGCAAAGAGGGACAAGGGGCACAGAAAGAGAGAGACAGGGAGAGACACGGGGCAGATGTGGGAGAAGCAGAAAAGACACAGGGAGGCCGAGGGGAAGACTTTAAGAATCAGAGGGAAGAAGAGAAAGAGAAGAGGCAGAGGATACAGAGAGGCGAAGTAACAGAGAGAAGGCAGCACAGAGGAGACGAAGGGAGGCAGAGGAGAGGCAGCGGGGAGCGTGGGGAGGGGTCGCAGGCCTACATGAGGTGGGTGCTGTCTGGAGTCCAGTCTGGCCGATACTTGGCCCCCAGCTCCAGGGCCTTGTCCCGGAGCTCCGAGCGGAAGGGGTTCTGGAAGCCGCTCAGCACCACCACCACACCCTGGAGGATCTTCCCCAGCTCCTGCGGGCCGGCGCGGGGGGCCCTGGGCTCAGCACCTTCTCCTCGGGGCTTCCCTGGCGCCGCCCCCCGTGCTGCGGCAGGGACAGGGGCAGTGGCTGGGGTAGGGGTGGGAGCTGACACTGGGGAGGCCAAGGAGTGGATTCAGTCAGTAGCTGTAGGGCTACACCCCCAGCCCTTCCCTACCCAGACCCAGGATCCAGGCCCCCGGCCCCTCCTACCTCAGACCCAGGATCCAGACACCCTGCCCCTCCTCCCTCAGACCCAGGATCCAGACACCCCACCCCTCCTCCCTCAGACCCAGGATCCAGACACCCCGCCCCTCCTGCCTCAGACCCAGGATCCAGGCCCCCGGCCCCTCCTCCTCAGACCCAGGATCCAGACCCCAGGCCCCACCCCCCTCAGACCCAGGATCCAGACCCCCGGCCCCTCCCCGCTCAGACCCAGTATCCAGGCCCCTGTGGGAACAAGGAATCCAGTTTGCTCACATTTGGGTCTCTTGAGGGCGGGTGGTGAGGGCTGGGCGGACGGTTTGCTGGGGGTCTTCTTTTCTTCGTGGCTCAAATCCAGCTTCCTCTTGCCTCTGGGGGACTCCTGAGGATGAGGGGGTGGGATGGGCCGAGGCCTCCAGCTCACCTCCTCCCTTTCCACCCCACCAGGGTCTGATGATCTCACCTTGGAGGTGCTGCCTACTGTCTTGGAGGCCGGAGAGGCAGAGGAGGCGGCACTGGAGGCCTGCAGTGTAGCAGCTGCATAGCTGGGTCCTGCTGGGTCACTGGCTGTGACTGCAGAGGGAGAAAGTGGAGCCAGGTTGAGAGGGCTGGACCCTCAGACCCTTCGGCTCCTATCCATGGGACACAGAGTGCTGTTCCCGAGACCTGAGAGTGACCCAGGAGTCCAGGCCCCCGGCCTTTACTCATTCAGGACCCAGGTTTCCCGCACTCACCTGGGGGGGTCTTGTTGATCCGGCTGAAGAAGAGAGCCCCGGGTCTCAGGGAGCTGACGCTCTCATCCTCCTCCTTCACGCGGAACTGGCCGAGCTTGGTCACTCTCTAAGGTCCCACAAGGTCAGCGCAGTGGGAGGGCTGTCAGTAGGGTGGGGTGAAGAGGTGGGGAGAAGGCTCTGGGCGGTGGCAGGTAGAGCTTACCTGGGATGAGGCCTCGGCCTCCTCTTTGTCTGGGGGGCTGTGAAACCTTACAAAACTCAGGCCATAGGGGGCATCCTGGGAGAGGAGGGGTGGGAATCAGGGAGCGTGGCCAAGGACTAAGATTTGGCCCCAATCCCTTTTATTTACAGAAACCTCTTTCTGGCTCTTTCCCTCCTATGGACACACACATGCGGGGAAGTGACCACATGGTAATGACAAGGATGATAACAGCAAGCTGTCATTGAGCCCTAACTTGGGGTCAGGCTCGGTGCAAAGCCCTTTACATGCACCAGCTCCTTAAGCCTCAGACCAATTGGCAAAGGCTGCTGGGTGTCTAAGCAAATCCACTCTGCGTACCAAACTCCTGCCTGTGGAATGGGAGGGAGGGCTGGGTATCACTTCTGGAACTCAGAAATGCTCCAGACTCTTTCCCCCTCTGCTGGGTGGATGCAGAGCCATGAGATGGAAGGAGACTGGGTCCGGGATGACTGGCCAAACACCTCCAGGGACAGATCCAGAGGTATAAGAAGTATACCTTTACTGTGTGCTGTCATTACATACTCGGGTCTCATCACCACAGCTTAGCATCCCTAACTTACAGCAACCCCACAAGGATCAGGAAACTGAAGCCAGAGGTCACACAGCTAAGGAGTGGAGAAGCCAGGTTTTAAACCAGCGTTCTGACTCCAGATCTCGTGATACTAACTCTGAGGCCCAATTCTACGAGGCCCCATCTCCAACAAGTCAGCAGCTCCCCCTCCCAATTCCCCTGAGGTCTTGCAGGTCATCCTTCCTCATCTCCCTCCAGGAAGCGAAGATTCCTATATGGGGAGGACCTCAAACCAATTTCAGAGAACGTAGGGACCCAGCCTCCTTGTAATCCCACGGGGAGACCAACTGTCCGGTCCTCCCAGCCCTCTGGGGCTCAACATCGGCCTCTCGTCTCTCTCGTGGCTCGGGACCAAGGACCCCACTCCCACCCTGGGTACCTTGCTGTAGGGCTGGCTGCAGACAATTTTGACGCGGTCCCAGCGCTTCTCTGCTGCTGCCCGGACCAACTTGTCGGGCCCAAAAATGCGAACGCGGTTGGAATTTGAGCCACTGCGACTCTCGGAAGGGGACATGAAAGACGAAGTGACCAGAAGGACCTGGGGAAAGGCACAGAGGATGAGAACCAGGCCTGGCTGGTTTCAGTGACACCTCCTGGGGGCTGGAAGAGGGCAGGGGCCTGAGCAGGGACCAGGGAGTCGCCAGATCCAGTTGTACCTCAACCTGCCTCAGGGCCTCTAGACCCTTCTCATTTCTGGGCCTCCAGTCAGTCCTTCCCTGGCACAGGCCCCAGAGGGGTCCTTCTAGTGCCAGATCTGAACCACCCTTCTCTAAATTCTTCCAGAGTCTTCCATATCTGGCCACATGGCGGGAACCCTCAGGACAGGGAGCTTCAGGAACCCTCACCAGCAGAGGATATTCACAATGACTGGCACAATATTCATACACCTTATTGTATTTTTTTTTTTTTTTTTTTGCCGTACCACACAGCTTGTGGGATCTTAGTTTCCTGACCGGGGACTGAACCTGTGCCCTTGGCAGTGAAAGCGTGGAGTCCTAACCACTGAACCACCAGGGAATTCCCTCAAACACCTTTTTGAAATGCACAGCTGAGTCAGCAGAAGAGAGGCCAGAAATTACAGTGCAGAATCCAAAGAGGTAGGGGAGCTGCACCCATTACTAAGTGACTGTCTCTCAGTTCAAACCCGCCCTCAAAAAACAAACAAACAAAATAAATAAATAATAAAATAAAATAGAAAAAATACAAAAGAAGAAAAAACAAAAAATATTTTAAAAAGAAAAGAAAACAAAACAAAACAAAACATCCCACCCTTGGTAGCTCAGCTCTGGGACGCTGGGGACGTTTCTAATCTCCAGCTGCTCCTTGTCAGGCTCTGCCAGCAGGGGGAGCTAGAGAGACAGGCTGGAGGAGGGAGGCGGGACCTGAGCCTTCTTTCAGATCCCCCGAGCAGCACCCAGCTGTGCTTCGCTCCTGCGTCTGCAGCTGTTGTTCTTCCCCCGGGGCGCCAGATGAATCCAGTTTGCAGCTTCCCAACACCTGCAGAACTGGCTTCACTGCACCCTCTCAGGGACATACCAGAACCAGCCAGGGAGCTCCCCTTCCTCAGGGTCTGAGTTTCAGCTCCAAGGGCCCCACCTCCAAGCTTGGAAACATCTACCCTTCAGTCATGCCAACCTCTTCCTTTTGTTCCTCCAACCCTAAGGGCAGTGACTGCCCCCTGCAGTTGCTTCCGCGTCCTGCCTCAGTCTTCTGGCCTCTTCAGTTCAATACCTTGTTACTAATTCTTTACGTTAATTCTCTCTGTTAAACTAACTGGTGTGGTTTCAGTCTCCTGGTGGGACCCTGACTGATACAGTGGGTGGCACTGATGTTGGTGATTCCCGGTGGCACAGAGCTTGATTTTAAAGGGCTCTAGGTGGTGGTAGCAGGAGAGACCAAGAAAGAAAGCCTGTGCTCCAAGTCAGGAAGAAAGGCATCTTAGGGACCGTGGCACAGAGCAGAGAGCTGGGCCTCTCCAAAGGGCAACACCCTCCGTGGGTAAATTAGGGAGGAATGTGCCTTGTGGGAAGAGTCAGTGGGAGGCTTTAGCTCTGGGGAGACAGCAGAGAAAAGCTGAAAAATCCTCTCTGGAGACTCCTAACCGCAGGTCTGTACTCTCAAGGATTTGCAGTAAAAATCCACACTAGTTATCTGCGTGGAAGAACCCAAGGTGAAAATTTTAAGTGGTCCCATGTATGTAGTATCACCCGGTGCCGGGGCAAATCCTCTTTGGAGGAACGTACTTCAAACCAGGCCCTCAAAGAATTCCCACAGATACATTCCCCAAACGCAGAATCAAGTCACACACACACACACACACACACACACACACACACACACCCATGAGGCATCAGGAAACAGGCTGCCATGATTTAGGGTCAGCAGAAACTATAAACTGCAGACTCAGACCCACAAAGACTGCACATATTGACATTATCAAACACACAATATAAAAGTAATTGTGTTTAACAGTCTAAAGAAATAAATGGAGCTATTAACAGTATGACGAAGGAACAAAAACTGACCAGGCAGTTTTGAAAAGCAGTGGAAGAGCTGAGTGCCCAACACTAAGGGACGAACCGTGATTGGTCGAAGTGGTCCGATTTCCTCTGCCAGTGGCTGGTCCAAGGATGGGCAATTCGATGTTAGGAGGAAGGCTGCTGGAAGCTTTGGGGAAAGATTTTCCTTCTTCATTAAAGAGAAACAGAGGATGGAAGAAAACCACTGCTTTTCTGCCATTCCACTCCTCCGCTTTCTGCTTTGGATGCTACTAGGTGATGGATGGAGCCATAGCAACCATCTTGTAACCATGTGGGCAAAGTCCAAAAGAATCAAGAGGTGCCCAACCAAGCACCCTGACTTTGTTCAGTTGCCCAATCAACTCTGGGTCTGCCTAATGCTGGACTTCCCTCCTAAGGAAACAATATATATTCTTAGGCAGTAAGCCACCTTTAGTTGGGTGTAATCTGTTACTTAGTCTCTTTTCTAAATGACGTGCTGTGAAATTAGAAAACAAAAGCTTTTTGCTGAGAAAAACATAGACTGTAACTAGGTATCTCCTTGTGCTCAGCTCTTGATTATGAAAAGGAAACAGCAAAGATGACAAAAATTATACAGAAGGGAAGCCAGCTCCCTGGCCTTGACTACACTTGTTTATAAAAGGGCTGATTCTGAGCCGATGGGAGAGCTGAATTACCATCTAGTGACTAAATGAAGGGGCAACACAAGCTGTGGTTGGCAGCTGCCACCCACACTAAGGGGGAGCCTCCCTCTGAATATACTCTCCTCCCACTCATTGTGAAGAGAAAACAACTCCAGTTGTTTTATTATCCAATACTGTCTTTAAGGTTCTAGGATTAAACCTTTATTCTCTAGACTGCGTTAACCTTGCAAGCTTAGATATCCCCTTTGCAGAACTTGGAGGGGTTAAAAAAAAAAAATGTTGGGACTTCCCTGGTGATCCAGTGGTTAAGACTCCGCGCTCCCAAGGCAGGCGGCCCAGGTTTGATCCCTGGTTAGGGAACTAGATCCCACATGTCGCAACTAAGAAGTCCGCATGCCGTAACCAAGACCCAGCGCAGCCAAATAAACAAACAAATAAATAAACAAATATATTTTTTTAATGTTGATGATTTTGTAGAAAATGTCACTAGTTATTAAAATATGTGCCTTTGGCTTCGTTTGTATGGGTGACATCAAAACGGACCAGTCCTGCTCGGCCCTTTTTCCTTTTCTTTCTTGACTCTTCCAACCGTATCTAGTCTCTGGGCAGAAGCCAGACCTTATAAGTTCCAGAGTCTTTAATTCAGTCTTGGCTAGCAGTTATAACAAAACTTCCAGCAGAAGTTTAATTAAAAACCTTGAGAGAATGGGAGACTATTGACATAGGGGTTTTCAGACTCTGAAAAGATCAAGCCCTAAGCTAACCATTCCACCTTTCTAGGTAGATAAGATAAGAATAATAAAGATTCACATGCCCGATTAGATAAAGTTTTAGCTAACAATACACTTACTCTGTTTCCATAATTATAAAGTAGAATTTTGATCTAAATCTGTTTGCTAAGAAGAACAGAAAACTCTTTTTTTATAGTCCCAAAGATTGTTGATTTTATTTAAAATTTTAAACAAGGAGGCCATTAGACTCAGTGACTCTAGTGCCTTAGGTAGCCTAAGTAAACCAACCAAAATCTAAGCCAGAGTTGGTGTACTCGAATCTAAGAAAATGAAATCAACTAATCGTGAATAGCCAAGTCACTAGATTTTCCCAAGTAAGGGAACCATTTAAGCTCTAGCCAATTAAATAATTGCTTTGCTTTGCTTCCCTGTTTTCTCTCTAAAAATCTCTGTCCTAGCCCATCCACACAGCACCCCTAATCATGTTTCAGTTTTGGCTGCCTGATTTGAATTGTTTGCTCAGATAAACTCTTCAAAACATAATGTTTGCCTTTTACAACTTATAGAACTTTTATTTTATTATTATTATTTTTTTTGCCACACCACGCGGCTTGTGGGATTTTAGTTCCCCGACCAGGGATGGAATCTGGACCCTCGGCAGTGAGAGCGTGGCATCCTAACCACTGGATCTCCAGGGAATTCCCTAGAACCTTTAGAATAAGAATGTGTGTTCAAGGAAAACCTCACTGGTTAAAATGTACCTTGTAAGGTGGAAAAAGCACTTGATAAAATTCAACACACATGCATTTAAAGACTGGCAATATCAAGTATAAGTAAGGATGGGAAGCAAAAAGAACTCATATACTGCTGAAGGGAATATAAACTGGTACAACCATTTTGGGAAACTGTCCATTTCTAATAAGGTTAAAACATATATCTACCTGAAGACCCTGCAATTCGACTCTTACGTATTTACCTAAAAGAGATCTCTACACAGAGGCTTGTACAAGAATGTTCACAGCAGCCTTTTTCATAATAGTCAAAAAGTGGTGGACTTCCCTGGTGGTGCAGTGGATAAGAATCCGCCTGCCAATGCAGGGGACACGAGTTCGAGCCCTGGTCTGGGAAGATCCCACATGCCGTGGAGCAACTAAGCCCGTGCGCCACAACTACTGAGCCTGCGCTCTAGAGCCCACGAGCCACAACTACTAAAGCCCACGCGCCTAGAGCCCGTGATCTGCAACAAGAGAAGCCACCGCAGTGAGAAGCCCACACACCGCAACGAAGAGTAGCCCCCACTCGCTGCAACTAGAGAAAGCCCGCGCGCAGCAACAAAGACCCAATGCAGCCAAAAATAAATAAATAAAATACATAAATTTTTTTTTTTTTAAAAAAAGTGGTGGGGAGTTCCCTGGCGGTCCAGTGGTTAGGACTCAGCACTTTCACTGCTGGGGCCTGGGTTCAATCCCTGGTTGGGGAACTAAGATCCTGTAGGCTGCACAGCATGGCCAAAAAAAAAAAGCGGCAACAGCCCAGATGCCCGTCAACAAGAGGACGGATGAACAAATTGGGATCTACGCTTACAGTGATATGGCTCAACAATAAGGTGGAACAGACCGCTGACATATATATGATATGTCAGAACACCAAAAAAAACAGTACGTTGAGTAAAGCCAGCCACAAAGAAAGAACACATGCTATATAAAATTCCACTTATGTGAAATTCTAGGACAGGCAAGAAAAGAGATCAGTGGTGGCCTGAGCTGAGGGTGGGAGGAGTGACTGCAAAGGGACACGAGGGAACTTTCAGGAAGGCCAGCGATGCTCTACGTCTTGATCTGGGGGACAGTTACGCAGGTGTGTACATCTGTCAAAACGCCGACCTGTGCATTTTATTCTATGCGAACTATACCTCAATTGAAAAAAATTTTTCACTGCAAGAAAACAACTGATTTGTTCACTTAAAATTGTAACCTCTCTTTTTCACAGTAGGTTTATTTTTACCCCAGGTCATTTTGCTGGTTGACCAGCTGGCTCATTATGATCTCACCGCTCCGGCTTGAATCCATTCAACTGGTTAAAAAAAGGATTGGGCCAATTTTCAAAATTCAGTAAGTCCCCTACATACAAACTTTCAAGTTGCGAACTTTCAAAGATGCGAATGTGCCCCTGCATGCCAGCTGTTGCACCGTGCTGCTGTCCTTTTCAAGGTGCTCTACTGGAAGGTTAAAGATGCTTCCTTTATTTTCTGTGTTTGTTTTTTAGGTATTATTCGTGTGAAAAGTATTATAAACCTATTACAGTACAGTCCTATACTACTGTGTCAGTTGGGTACCCAGGCTAACTTTGTTGGACTTAGGAACAAACTGGACTTATGAACAGGCTCTCGGAACGGAACTCGCTCATATGTAAGGGACTTACTGTATTTGTAATAGAGCAAAAGGCTTGTAAACATTTGTCACAAATAAAGTAACTAAGAGAGGCACCCCAAGCAATTCGGAATCTCAACTGGCTGCGACATCTCTGAGAAGTTCTGGGACCAGAAGCAAAGGAGTTTTGCTCTCAAGCAGCAACTGAGTCGTAGAACAAACAGGTGCCTCTGGTTGTTTCTGCAGCCATGCTGCAATTTCGGCCAAATCCCTGCTGCACACAGCTTATCACCTGGGTCTGCTCTTTGTCTCCGGGAACCCTGGGCTCCTCTGGAGGGCCACCGTCAGTGTGACTCGCCTCCACCCTGGTCTGGAGCCTGGGAGGTCTGGGGCCTCGATGGGGGCACCTGGGGCAGGGATCAGCAGGGGGCTTACCTCGTAGTCCTGCTCCCCGGCCCCTCCGGCTGAGCTGCCCACCAGCACCTCCACGAAGGCCGAGCCGTCGTTCCCGATGTCCACGCTGTGTATCTGCTCTTCCTTCTCTAACTGCAGGGGAGGGAAAGCGCACTGTCAGTGCCGCTCTGCCCCCCTCCCCCAGCTCTCTGTGGGACCTCGGAAGAGGGATGACCCCCATCCGGGCCCCCTCGTCTCCTTGCAAAGTCAACTCGGTGACAGTGAAGACAGGGCTGAGTGGGGCCACTGCGTCCCCTGCACGCAGCACAGGGTGTAGAGTCAGAGCTCGAAAATATTCACTGACCGGCTGCATAAGCTCCCACACCCACTTCCCTGACTCTGCCAGACTCTGCCGGATGGGCCGCTAACCCGCCACCACGGAGCTCTCCTTGGTGGCGCTATGCAGACAAATGGCACATCTGTCACCCCCAACCCCAATCACACAGGGCTCCGGGGAAGCTCCCTGAGGGTAGGGGCCTAGTCTGGTTTGGCTCACCACTGATTCCTGGGTTTGAGTCCCAGCTCTGCCACACGCTAGCTATGTGGCCTTGTCAGCTCACCTCTTGGAGCCTCAGTTTCCTCATCTGTAAAGTGGGGATGGTCACCCTATCTAGGATTATGCACATAAATACTACGGCCTCAGGGACCAGCATGTAGCAGGCACCCTGCCACTGCCAGTCAGGAGGCAGTATTAGTCGCTGCTTGATGACTATTTGTCAAAAGAAGGCAAGAGGTGACTGTAGGATGGCTTGCCCCCAAAGTTTCTGCCATTCCTGTAAAGGCCGCGTGGGGGTGGAAGGCAGTTAAGAATGGCTGAAGCAAGTCTCCTGCTTTCCACTCTGGGGATCTTTTATTTGGCTCCTAGAATGACAAGTTACTTCGACCCCCAAAGGTACCTAGTCTGCCACCCTACACCAGGATCATCTGACGGTCCGATCTGCCCTGTCACCTCCCCGTCGGGAGGCGGCCCGGACACTGCCCGCACCCTGCGGTAGGCAGGAACATCCCTCCGGGGAAGGAAGGAGCCTGGGCTTGTGGGGAGGTCAGCCTGACTTCAAATCCAGCCCTGCCACTTCCAAGCGGTGCAGCCCTGGGTGGCATATAACCTCTCTGAGCTGCAGTTTCCTCACAAGTGAAAGGGGAGGGTCATCATAACAGTCCTCCTTCCGAGGGGAGTCTAGATGACACATACTAACCGCCGCAACCCACAGCCATTGCAGCGGACATCTAAGTGCTCAGATGTGGCAGACCCATAATAGCTGTATCTTCTCTCCGCCCCACAGCTCTTCGAGAGAGACAGGAGCTGTTATTATCTCTATTTCACACGTTAGCAAATGGAGGCAGGAAGCGGTTGTGTCACTTCCCTGAGGTCACACAGCTGGCGCCCAGGCAGCCTGGCTGGGCTAAAATAAAGGTGTCAGCAGGGCTGCATTCCTTCTAGAAGTTCTGGGGGAGAATCGTTTCGTCTTTTTTTTTTTTATTATTAAAGCTTTTTTAAAAAATTAATTTATTTTAGGCTGCATTGGATCTTCATTGCGGTGCGCGGGCTTCTCACTGCGGTGGCTTCTCTTGCTGCAGAGCACAGGCTCTAAGCTCGCGGACTCAGTAGTTGTGGCACATAGGCTTAGTTGCTCCATGGCATGCGGGATCTTCCAGGACCAGGGCTCGAACCCGTGTCCCCTGCATTGGCAGGGGGATTCTTAACCACTGCGCCACCAGGGAAGCCCGTTTCCTTGTCTTGTTTCCAGCTTCTAGAGGCCCCTGCACTCCTCGGCTGTGGTGCCTTCCTCCATCTTTGGAGCCAGCAATGGCATTGCTCCAACCTCTGCTTCTGTCTTCACATCTCCTCTGACTCTGGTTCTCCTGCCTCCCTCCTTCCCTTATAAGGACCCTTGTGATTACGCTGCACACACACACACACACCCCAATCATCCAGGCCAATCTCATCATCTCAAGATACTCAGTTCATCACATCCACAAAGGCCCTTTTGCCACGTAAAGGACATATTCACAGGTTCTGGGATTAGGATGTGGATATCTACTGGGGGCATTATTCTGTCTACCACACTTAGCTAAGCTCTTCCTGGGCCAGGCATCACTGAATCCTCACAACCACCTTGGAAGGAAGGGTCTGTAACTCTCCCAGCTTCACAGATGGGGAAACTGAGGCTCAGGCAGGTAAATAAATGGCTCACATGTCACACATAGCTAGTGACTGGAAGAGAAATTCAGACCCAACTGCCTGACGACAAGCCAACACTGCTTCCCAATTCCCCAGTTTCAATCCTTGACATAAAAACTCAACAGCTTGGGAATTCCCTGGTGGCCCAGTGGTTCAGACTCCGAGCTTCCACTGCAGGGAGCAAGGGTTCGATCCCTGGTCGGGGAACTGAGATCCTGCATGCCGTGGGGCGTGGCTGAAAAAAAACTCTGCCTCTCCCACATTTAAAGTATGGGGCCCTCCATCTAGTAGGATGTATATATATATATTTTTAATGAATGGTTCTTATTTCATATACGACTACTTCTACTTTAAACACACATATATACTCCCCTGTCTTTCTTTTGATAAATAAAAAATCTCTTATAAAAACATGGAAACAACCTAAGTGCCCATCAGTTTATGAATGGATTCACACTGTATGATATTCCCTACAATGGAACAGTATTCAGCTGTAAAAAGGAATGGAGCACTGATCTAAGCTACAACATGTAGGAACCCCGAAAACCTAATGCTAAGTGAAAGGAGCCAGACAAAAGGCCACATATTCTATGGTCTTATTTATATGAATGTCCAGTATAGACAAATCCATAGAGACAAAAAGTATATCAGTGATACATATACACACTAGTATATATAAAGTAGAGAACCAACAAGGACCTACTGTATTGCACAGGGAACTATACTTCATATTTTGTAATAACCTATAATGGAAGAGAATCTGAAAAAAAATCTAAAACTAACACAACATTATAAATCAACTATACTCCAATTTAAAAAAACTGGAGGGACCTTCCTGGTTGCGCAGTGGTTCATACTCCATGATCCCAATGCGGGGGGCCCGGGTTTAATCCCTGGTCAGGGAACTAGATCACGTGTGCATGCCACAACTAAGAGTTCACATGCCACAACTAAGGAGACCGCCTCCGCAACTAAGGAGCCCTCGAGCCACAACTAAGGAGCTCACTGGCCTCAACTAAGGAGTCCACATGCTGCAAATGGGGAGCTGGCGAGCTGCAACTGAGGAGCCCGCCTGCCACAACTAAGCCCCAGCACAACCAAATAAAAATAAATAAATGAATTTTTTTAAAGTTTAAACTAAAATAGTAATATATTTTTTCTTGAAGATTTAAATATTAAAAAGGTTAATATCAAGTGTTGATTTAAATGTACACCAGCAGTGTTAAATGCAGATTAATTCAGTAAATTCACTTGAGTGAAAAAAAATAAAATAACTGAATTCCCTATTTTAACAAAAGTACATTGGTGGTTGCCAGCAGCAACCTGGGGAAAGGGGAATAGGGAGTGATCGCTTAATGGTTTTCCATTTCTTTTTGGGGTGATGAAAATGTTCTGGATTAGACAGCAGGAATGAAGGCAGAACATGGTCAATATTCTAAAAAACCCTGAACTGTACACTTTAAATGGTTAAGACCTTTACATTACGTGAATTTTACCTCAAGAAAAAAGACGTGAGTGCTCAGTAAGTATCAGCTGTGAGGAGAAAGGCTTAAGCACAGGGTGAGTCATCTGTGGCCCGGGTTCGTGTGCGCCTTTCCCAGGAAGACAGAATTCACGACAGTGGAAGAAATGAGACATGGAAGGTTTGCAAAGTCCCAGAGATATCTTATTAAAAAAACTGTTCCAAGACAAACATCATATTTTATTGCTTATATGCCGAGTCTATAAAAAAAAGAAAAAAAGAAAAAAAAAGATACAAACGAACTTACCTACAAAACAGAAAGAGACTCACAGACTTAGAGAACGAACTTATGGTTACCAGGGGGAGGGGCTGGGAGGAGGCACAGACTGGGAGTTTGGGATTGACATGTACACACTGCTATATTTAAAATAGATAACCAACAAGGACCTACTGTACAGCACAGGAAACTCTGCTCAATACTCTGTAATAACCTGAATGGGAAAAGAATTTGAAAAAGAATAGATACATGTATTTGTATAACTGAATCACTTTGCTGTACACTTGAAACTAACACAACATTGTTAATAAACTCTACTCCAATATAACAACAACAAAAAAAACTGTTCCACATCCATGAAAGAATAAGGTAGAACTTGATGCACCGTTAAAAAGAATAAGATAGATCTTGATGCACCATTAAAGAGAATAAGGTAGAACTTGATGCCATGACAATGGATCTCCAAGATACAGTTTCTTGGAAGAAAACAAGGGAGAGGACTGTTTACATACAGTGTACTTTTTAAAAGGTCGGGAGGGGTGAATATATACGCTTGTACATGGACAGAGTGACCCGGGGGGTAATATGAGAAACGGCTCACACTGGTTGCCACAGGAGGGAAGACCTGGGCAGCAGAAATCGGGAGGGCGGGGGTAGGGAATGGAAGCAGGTGGTGGGGAGGAGTTTTCCTTTTCACTGTATACCCTCCCTTTTGTGCCTTTTGAGTTAACCACCATACGCATATAACACCCATTTGATAAGTTAATAAAATCTCAGTGGTTATCTCCAACAATGGAATACTACCAGCCGCACCCAGCAAGGAGGATGAAACTAACAAAATGAAACTAACAAACAATGCTGGGAAAGAAAAGAGCAGCCAGAGGTGAAAGTACTATATACCCTGTGATTCCATTTATGAACAATTCAAAGCCAGCCAAAGCTAATCAATGCTGTTAAAAATCTATGCCATGGTTACCCTTGCGGGGGAGCAGTGACAGGAAGGAGCACAAGGGGGCGTGGGAGGGGGTGTGTTCTGTTCCTTGATCTGGTTGGCAGTACACGGGCTGCAGTTCGTGACGATTCACTGGACTGCATGCTTTGCTGTACGCACGTGTCATGTCAAAAGAAGGTAAAAAATTTTAAAACATCACAATGGCAAACTGGGTGATGAGAAAACCACTGAAAAACAGAAACAGAACGTGTCCACCTTGCTACTGAACATTTTTTCTAAAGAACACACCTCAGCATCCGGGGGGATGGGAGGAGTTACACCTGGGCTGCGTCTCAGCCACTCCCACCAGCCCAGGAGCGGTTAGTAAAGAGGCTGGAACTGCCCTCCTGGGAGCAGGTGATGGGTTGGCGATAGAGCCTCTTTCGGACACCGCAAACGAAAAAGGCGTGTGGGGCTGTCACCACGAGCAGAGGGCTGAACCCCACATGGTAATACAGAGATATTGTGAGATGCTATTTGAGGGGAAAAAAATACACAGTAGTAGGAAAATCCACAGATCAATCTACGTGTCTTGGTGTCCTGAAGTTTCCTCTCATCACTTGCTTGAAAAGAACCGAAATTAGCACTCGGTGAGCCTGGAGTCACCCTGCACGCTGCCAACTGGCAAACGCCATCAGATTTTCCGAAGGGTCTCCAACGCGAAATAAATCGACAACCGCTGTGACAGTGCTGCCTGCTCCAGCACTTTTCCCCTGCAGTTTATTCTCAACCTGGAGACCTCACAGAAGATTCTGGGAGAGGGGGCTTCCCTGGTGGCGCAGTGGTTAAGAATCCACCTGCCAATGCAGGGGACACGGGTTCGAGCCCTGGGCCGGGAAGGTCCCACATGCCGCGGAGCAACTAAGCCCGCGAGCCACAACTACTGAGCCCGCAAGCCACAACTACTGAAGCCCGTGCGCCTAGAGCCCGTGCTCTGCAAAGAGAGAAGCCACTGCAATAAGAAGCCCTCGCGCTGCAATGAAGAGTAGCCCCCGCTCCCCACAACTAGAGAAAGCCCGCATGCAGCAACGAAGACCCAACACAGCCAATCAATCAATCAATCAATCAATCAGTAAAAGATTCTGTGAGAACCTAAGTCACGTTCTGTTCCTCCTCTGCTCAGAGGCCTTCCACGGCTCCCATCTCATGCAGAGCAAATGCTTAAATCCTTACAATGGCTTTTAGGCCTTACGTAGGTTAGGGGTCCTCTACCCTCACCCTATCAGCACCTACCCCTCTCCCCTGTCAACTCCACTCCACCCACACACAGGGCTTGCTGCTGTCCCTCCAGCCCGCCAGACACCAGCCAGGTACCAGCAAGGCACTGGCCTACCAGGCGCCAGCCTGCCTTGGACTCTGTTTCTTTCCCAGGTACCTGCATAACTCAGGAAGGCCTTCCCTAACCCCCTATTTAGAAAAAAACCTCTTGCCACTGCCTCATCTTCCACTGGAGGCATTTCTCATTCCTCTTTTTTCTTTTTTTAATATTTATTTATTTATTTGGTTGCGCTGGGTCTTAGTTGCGGTAGGCGGGCTCCTTACTTGCAGCTCGCCAGCTCCTTAGTTGTGGCCCGCGGGCTCCTTAGCTGTGGCATGCGAACTCTTAGTCACGGCACGCATGTGAGATCTAGTTCCCTGACCAGGGATCGAACCCCAGCCCCCTGCAGTGGGAGCGCAGTCTTAACCACTGTGCCACCAGGGAAGTCCCTCCTCACTTCTCTTAACCATGTAATTTCCTCCCTAGGCATTCATCACCTGACACACGTACGTTTTACTTATTAATCGGTCAGTCCTTCCTTGCCAATGTAAAATCTCCACAGGACTGACGTACGTTTGTCTTGTGGTGTCCCCTGCACTATGCCCCAGTACCTACAACAGTGCTGGGCCTACACAAGGCGCTTCTATGAATGAATGAACAAATGAATCCATCCACTCCCAAGTCTCCAGGGCCTGTCCCTGTGCTGACAACTCCTACAGCCCTATCTCCAGCTCCATGTCCAATCGCTAGCTGTCCCCTGGATGTCCCAAAGTCATAGCAGACCCGGACATCCCAACCAATGTGTCACCTTCTCAAGCTGCCCCTTGTCGAGGTTTCCCACTTTGGTGACAGGTGCAATATCCCCTTTGGTCTCCCAGAGCGGAGAATCCTGTGGCTTGTCTGGCTCCCTCGCTCCCCATATCCTGTCTCTTCTTGTTCCCAGTGCAACCGGGGTGCAGACCCAAATGGGATGTTCCTGATCATCTCCTGACCAGAGAGCCCAGCAGAATCAGCGCCCAGTAATTAACACATGAATCCCTCCCTTTACACAAACACCTGCCTGCTGACAGGGCACTTTTGCAAACATTACATCACCGGATTTTCACAGCAACCCTGGGCTCAGATCACATTATTCCCAATGGGCAGATGAGAAAACAGGTTCAGAGAAAAGAAACCATTTGCCTGAGGTCACAGGGTGAGTAACAGGGACATGTGGGGTCTTAAATCCATGTCCCAAGACTAACTAAAAAAAACATTGGCTCTAGGCAAGTTTGTATAACCTCTCTGGGACTAGTTTCTTCCTTGTAAAAGGGGATAATAAAGGACTCGAGGTCATGGGGTTTTTATGAGGATTCAATGAATTAACCCATGTGAGGTGTTTAGAATGGTGACCGGCAGTTGTAATTTTTTTTCCTTTTAGTTCCCTGACCAGAGATTGAACCCGGGCCCTCGGAGCATGGAGTCCTAACCACTGGACCACCAGGGAATTCCCAGGCAGCTGTAATGTTGAATAAATGTTAGCTCTCATTATTCTTACTATGTTAGGGACCTAAGAGATATTTAAATTCCTAAAATCATTCAGAAAATCTTGTGGGTCTGTGTATTTTTCCTGGGAAGAGAATTCTCAGATTCTCCCTAATTCTCAAAAGGTTCTGTGAACCAAAACTTTTTCAGAACCACTGGGCAAGAGAGAGACAATAATAGGTTTTAACACAATCGGGTAAGCGTTGCCCCCAACATCCCTCCCCAAACACCCCCTACATTCAGAAGGGAGGAATGTGGCCAAAATCAAGAAAGCCAAGGTATGAACACAGAGCAGCAGGACAAAGTGGCTAAGAACACTCACAGTAGGTTCAGGTCTTAGCACCGCCATTTATTAGTGGTGATAACAGCCCCTACATTATCCAACTCCATGAAGAGTCGGGTCACACAGGTAAAACACCCAGGCCGGCGGCACCAGGCAAAGAGCATATGCTTGGCAACACACCTAGCTCGCTTCTCCCACCAGCTTCTTATGCCGGAGAGGAACAGCCTGTTTGGAATTCTGTAACCATCTTGGGTCAAACTACCCTTTCCTCTTTGCCTCCCTCCAACTTCACAGAGAATGTACCAAAGCGCTCAGCATTCCAGACATGGTAGCTTAGGCTGGCCACTTCACTTCGCCCTGCCCTATGCCCCAGTTTCCTCATCTTTAAAATGAGGTTGACTGTGGACTTCCCTGGTGGTCCAGTGGTTAAGACTCCACACTCCCAACGCAGAGCCCGGGTTGGATCCCTGGTCAGGGAACTAGATCCCGCATGCCACAACTAAGACCAGCGCAGCCAAATAAATAAATATTTTTTAAAATAAAAAAATAAAATGAGGTTGATTGGCTTAGATGATAATGAGACAACTTCCAGCCCTGAGCCCAGAGGCTTTAGAAGGCGGGATACATGGCAATGATTCACTCTGTTCCAGCTGAGAAAATTGAGGCCCCGAAAGTAGCAGCAACCTACCTGGGCCACACACTGATTCACCCCTGGCCTAGTGCCTGGATCACCTTTCTCCCCTGCTAAGGGGCACAGGGATCACACTGCTCATTTTCCAGGTGAGGAAGCTGAGGCCCAAAGGGAAAGTGCCTCAACTCACTGCCAGTTAACTCCAGACTCCTATTAAGGAGATGGGGGGAGGTCAGAATCACCTGGAGCACCACAGAGATGGTCTTCTCGCCTGCCTTGGCTGCGCGCCACTTTCGGTAAGTGTCTGCCTTGAGAAGGTTTTCTGCACAGTAGGTCTGGAGAGAAGAGTGGGAAAGGGCAAGTTAGGGTACAGAGATGACAGCTAGGTCCCCAGCTCTCAGATTATTCCATTGAGATCCCCCAGATTTAAGTTTCCCTATTAATCCCCACACACTCTGCCTTGAGTCCCCTACAGCATTTTCCCCTGGAAATTCACCCCTGGGCCTTCCAAGGAAGCTCCCCTATCCCTCCTTTTCTCTCTGAAAGTTCCTCTATTCCACATCTCTCTAGAATTCCCTTATGGCCTCTGAGAAATTCTCCCAGGACCCTCCTTTGGATTCCACAGAGTCCCTTTTATGAAAGGAAAATCAAAATGAAGTCGGTATTGCTAAAAGGGCTCTCTAAAATGGAGCTGGGTGGCCACCGAGGAATTGGGACCACGCAGGTCTCAGCCTGGATGGAATGTGACCTTTTGACCACTTATTGCATTCAACACAGACATCCAGGACATCTACCAGAAACTCGAGATACTTATCGGACACTTACCGTAAAGTAACTCATGACGGCCTATTTATGGGGCCTTTACCCTAAAGTAACTCATGACACCCTATTCTTTAAAGCCAAATATTTCTTGTATCAGGGGCAATTACAATTCTCTCTAGACAACTTTAACCGCCTGGTGACCTTTGTCCTCATAAGCCCCTGACTCTCTCTCCCAACACACTTTCGGTTTTACGGAAATCTGTGTCTCTCTAATATCAGTTCCTAAAACCCCAAATAAAGTTCTTTTTTCTTCGCAGCCCGGAAACTGATCATTGTTCAACCCCTTTTGGGCTCCAAAAGTTCTCCTAGAGTCCCCTCAAGAATTCCTTTACTTCTTCCAACCTCCTCCACGCCAGTCCCTCACCGAGTCCTGGCTACTGCAGGATACCACATGGCGGAGGCGGATCTCCGGCATGTCAACGTCGTGGGCTTCGCCTGACCAAGAAGATGCTGGAGGGTCTGAGTTTAGGGTGCAGACAGCTGGGGCGCCCTGCGCGGGCTTAACTGCGCAAGCGCACGAGGCTCGGGCCTTTCAAACAGCGGCGCGCCGGAGGTCGCGTCAACACTGCGCAAGCCCAGTGCGTCTCTCCCGAGAGAGGCGAGAGGGGCTGAGTTGCCTAGTAACGAGCTTCTCCCGCCTCCCTCTGGCCAAACCGCTCTCTAGCCCCCCCTCCCGGTGACTTTCACACTAGGTCTTCCGGGCACCTAGCGACCGGCGTGGCCTCCAGGACTGGTCCCCAGAAGAAATTCGCCATCCTCACCACCCCAACTGAAGCCTGGAAAGCAAGAGGCCAGCAAATCTGAGTGGATTTTTGCAGGGAGCCTGGAGCCTACCGCAACAGGATCCCCTCCACCGGTTGCTGGCTACCCTCCCCATGCCTGCCACCAACACACACACACACACACACACACACACACACGCGCACACAATCTCTGATCTCTCAAGCTTATGCCTGTGGCAGAGAGAGTGGGTAAAGAACCTAAATAAAACACAATGCATGTGCCCAAACACACATCCAGCCTTGAGTGCTTCCAACCATGCCTCAGTTTTCCAATGTGACCTATGGGCATCTGTCTCGTACCATGCCCACCCCTGCCCGGTGACAAGCACCCCTCTGTTCCGTCCCCGAGAGACCCAGAAGGGCATCTTGGGGTGGGGTCGGAGCTGGAGACAACCCAAACACGGAAAAGTGAGTATGAACCAAGCGTGCCCCTACAGAACATGCTGGACGCTCCCAGGTAGGGCCCCACCCACGCTGGGCACCTCCTTGGGAAGAGAAAGAAGGGTATCTCAGTCCTAGCAGCCGCCCTACCCTGCAGGGAATCAAATGACCCGATTCTGAGATTATGATCTTGGGCCTCAGGTCAGAAAAAAAAGAAAAGGGGGGGGGGGGGGGGGGGGGTGGGGTGGGAATGTGAGAAAATAGGGAAGTGATCTTCTGGGTCCTGACGGAAGAGAGGGCTGGAAGTTCAGACTCCTGGGGTCCCCGTGGAGGAGGGGACTGGGCACAAGATGCCCATGTCGCATTCAGATTCTGGTTCTGCCTCCCCACCCCAGAGCTACAGAGACCTGCCCCCAGATCTTACGTCACTTCTTTCTCACCCTAGGGGTAGGGTGGGTCCAGACCCACCCCTCCTCAGCTTCCTATAAGAAGAGCTGGGGACCTGGGACTGCAGGTTCACTCACTCATCCATCATGAGGCTTTCCACGAAATCCCAGACCTTCCTGCTGGCTTCCGTGCTGCTCTGCACCCTCCTGGGTCTGGGTAAGTGACTAGGGGCCTGGAATCCTGGGACCTTCGGAAAGAGGACTATATGAGAGGGGCATTCAGCAAGGTCCTTCAGGGGGGAGGGGGAAAGAGGAGGTGTCCTGGGAATTCAGATTCATGGCAAAGGCAGAGGGTAAAGGACAGAAAGACTGGGGCCCCAAGGGAAGAATAGCTCAGAAACTTGTGTGTGTGAATCCCTGAGAAAGAAGGGGATTTGATGGGCTTTGAATCCCCTGTCCCCCAGGCAAGGTCTCAAAATAAGCCATCTGGGGACTTCCCTGGCGGTCCAGTTGTTAAGACTCTGTGCTTCCACTGCAGGGGGCGGGGGTTCGACTCCTGGTTGGGGAACTAAGATTCTGCATGCCATGCAGCTCGGCCAAAAAAAAAAAAAAAAAAAAGACGTCTGAATTCTAGAAAATCAGAGTATGATTAGAAAGGGAAATTTTTTTTTAAAAAATGATGGGGCGGGGGAGAGATTTTCTTTCTCCCAGAACTCTAGGGAGTTCAGACCCCTGGTGTACTCCCCTAGATGCAGGAATTCAGGCAAGCCCCACCTTCCCCAGGATGCAGTTGCCCAGTGTCTGGGCCCCCATTTGCCTCCTCTTTCAGTACCAAGGGGTCCATGCGCTTGCCCTCCTGGTCCGTGCTCTCCCTTCTTGACCTGGGATGCAGATCCCAGCCTCAGGTACCCCTGCCTGGGCTCCTACTGTCTACAAGACCTACGCGTGGTATCTACAAGACCTACGCGTGGTACCTACAAGGAAGAGGATCTCACTTCCGAGAACCAGCTCGACCTGAAGCTTCACAAAAGTCCATGGAAACCTTCACCAGGACCCCTCCCTGTCCCCAGACTTTCTCAGAGGACCCTAAAGTCCCCAGCCTTGTAATTAGGTAAACTTGCTCCCTGGTGGAGTCGCTTTGCACCCCGGAAAGCGGCTTTGCTGGAACACCACCGCGTCTCTGCCGGAGCTTCTGACAGTTCCCTGGACAGCCGCCAATGCCCCGTCCAAGAACAATCAGGGAGATACCTTTCCCTCCTCCCTCAGACCGCCCCCCATCCCCCTCTGGACTCCGTCCGAAGTCTTGGTCCGCAGACCACACCACCCTTGACTAGAGCCCTGCTCTCTACACTGCAGGGTACCCACTAAGCTGTGAGGTGTGTACAGGCTCCGGACCCATGTGCAGTGGAAATGTACAAACTTGTGACCCCGACCAGGACTCCTGCGTGGTCATCGTGGCTCACACCAACAGGAGTAAGAGCTCAGGGCGTGGCGTCAGATCCTGGGGAGGGGGCTGTGCTTTCGGGGTAGCAGATACCAGCACGCGCGGGGAGGAACCTTCCAGTGGTGAGCAGGCAGGAAAGAGGGAAAGGCAATCTCGAGGTGGACGGAGGGAGGAGAATCCGATGGAATGACAGAAACCACTGTTGTCAGGGATTTCTGAAAATTAGACTCCAAAGAGTTGATGGGGTGGGGGTGGGGGGGCAGATATAGAGACTTCCTTAGGCAGGAGGGGATTAGGGAAGGAAAGGACAAGGGGGAAGAGAGAAATCGCGAGAGGGGGAAAACCTAATATGCAAGAGGTGGAGGGGGGCGTGTAGAGGAGAAGGAAGGGGCTGGGGTGGGTTGGAAGGAATGTGACCAGGTTGACCATTTGGGGTGGGAGGGATCCCCTAGGGATGCGGGTTGGAAGAGACCATTCCTGACAAGAAGAGGAGAGATGATATTGGGGTAGAGGGAAAGATATAAAAGAACAGACAGGAGAGGGAAGATAATCCTGAAGCATGGAGCAAATTATCACAAAGAAGTGGAGCTGCGGCAATGGGGAGACATATGAGTAAAGTGGGAGAGGAGAGGCAAGACTTAAATGGAAGGGACTCTCCCAGGCCTGAGGGAGGATGGGGGAGAAGGGGAGCAAAGGAAGAAACCACGGGGGGTGGGGTGTTCATTCAAAGCTGAAAGAGACCCAGAAACCCTTAGTTAAAGGAAGATGGTGGGGCGCGGCGTGAGACTGGAGAAGGAAGGATGTGACGGGAGGTAAGGCCAACGTTGAGTGTAGGAAGGAACCATTCCGACCGGAGGGTGTGTGTAAGGTAAGTGGGATAGAAGATTGCACGCTGCCCTACTCACCTAGCAAGAGTGGGCAGGTGGGGGAAGGACCTGAAAGTCTTGCAGAGGCCACCCAGGAGTATATGGGAGGGAGATGGGACCCTGGGACCGCAGGAGGAAGTTGGGGAAAAAAACACCTTTCTGTGGGGTAAAGAGGGGAAACCCTAGGGCTGGAAGAGACCACCGTACTGTGGGGAGGGGGAGGGGGAAGGCTGTGGAGGCTGGACGAGACCACTTCAGGCAAGACCTGAGAGTAGCCAAGGAGGGCAGCAAGAGACCATCGGTGGGAGGTCTGGGGAGTGACCCTGGGGAAATCTGGAAGAGACCACGTTAGACAGAGAAGGATATGGGTGTTACAGGGTGCGGGGGGGCGAGGGTGGCATTCCAGTATCTGGTGGAAGGGATTCCAAGGGTCAGGGGAGGGCGAAAGGCTGGAAGAGACCATTTCACACCGCCATGGAGATAGCCATAGGCGGCCTGAAAAAGACCACTGCAGGTGTGACCCTTAGAGGATGGCAGTGGGGTGGCGTGGGGTGGAAGGGACCACTGAGGCAGGCACCAGGGCTTGCCGATGGGAACTGCAAGAGACCACCAAAGCCTGGAGGGGGTGGGGTGGAGCGGACCTAATAAACAGTCCAGACCATGCCCCAGGCAGATAAGGGGGTATGACTCTGGGGGGCTGGAAGAGACCTCCCTAGACAGCAGCGGGCTGGGGCAGCTGTAAGGTTGGGAGAGACCTGGAAGCCAGGGTCCAGGCCAGGGCCCCTGAGCCCTCCCCTCCCTCGCCATCCTGCAGAGGGCCACCAGTCGCTGAACACCTATAAGGGGTGCATGAAATCCAGCGCCTGCAGCTCAGGATTTGTCTCCATCACCATGGACCCTGAGAACTACATGGTGTCCAACACACGCTGCTGTCAGAGCGACGCCTGCAACCACGACCCCCTGCCCGGTAAGGACCAGCGCAGCCCCACAACCGGAGTCCCTTCCTGCGCCGCCTGAGAGCCTGCTGTGAGCACCCGCCACTGACCCGCGCTGTAACCTTTGGCAAACATCCTCCTTGCTCTGAGCCTCAGGTCCTCGCCTGTAAAATGCAGTGTCCATTAGCAACCGGTGTCCCCAGGGTTGCTGTGAGGTTGGGAAAGGGTTTAACGTCCCTTACACCTTACACTCCACCCTCCTCCCCAGCTCCTGAGAACAATCGTACGGAGAATGGCCTCCAGTGCCCTACCTGCATCACCCACTTCAAGGAAACATGCTCTTCAACTAAGAAAGTACTCTGTGTTGGCCAGGAAAGCCACTGTATCACCTGCGCTGGCAAAGTGCAAACTGGTGAGGGGCACCTAGATTTCTGGGGGAGGGGACAGGGAGGTTCCCAGAACTGGAGGCTCATACTTCCAGATTCTAGGGGAGAGAGTGGGTCCAGAGAACTGGGTGAGGAGGTGGCAGGGGCATGACCCCGGGTC